AGCACATGCCTGACAGTCTCATCTTCCTGTTCAAATATCCTGCATAAAAGTGTATCCACTAGCCCCATATTATGGATGTGTTTCCTTAATTGACAGTGGCCAGTCAGAAATTCTACTGTTAAGCGTAGATGTTTCCCGGTCATCGCCAGATATTTCTTCGGCGCCAGCTTCCCAGGGTCGCCCAGGGTGGTCTTGGCAAGATTTCATCCTTTGATTCCATTCTATCTCTTTAGGGATTGAGCATGGGTGTAACATTCGGCTGGTTCCGCAATTGTCGAAGTCATCAGGCCGTAGGTGCCACTGGGTCCTGAAATTCTTAGTCCGGCTGCTTCCTTGGCTAAAGAGTCGGCAATGCAATTACTTTTACTCCTGTCGTGCCCTTTAACCCACCTCAAGATAATGTTATTATCTACCGAGGCTTTGGCTAAATCTTGGTGGCTCTAGTTCTAGACCTGAGGTAACACGTTGTCTGTTCAAGGCTAATAGGACTTGTCTGCTGTCAGTGCAAATTGTTATGTTGTTGCCAGAAACTCCTTTCCTGGTTATTTCTTTTGTGGCGAATGAGATACCAGCCAGTTCTGTTTGGACCGCGCTGATATTTTTTCCCATTTCCACTCAATCCTTAGGCTTAGTGATCTGGAGTATACTCCACATCCTGAGCCTTCTTCGGTTTTTGAGCCGTCTGTACATATCAAAATCAAAATCAAAATCAAAAAATCTTTATTTCCGTAGACCTAGGGAAGGCATGGAAAAAGTCACATTACTCAGTACAATTACAATGAGGTCACAATCATAAAACAACATAATTATAAGATATACTATATAACATTTAGACCATAAAAGGGATACTATCATCTCTGTTCTGAAACTTGGAGCAATTTGATTTAACGTAGATTACGCAATTAAGAATATACATGCAAGTAACAGTTAATATATTCAACTTTGCAAAAAGTGGTTTACAGGAATCGAGTGGTTTTTTAAAACAAATTGTTCTAATAATCTTTTTCTGGAAAATTAATATGCGTATTGCATTTGTAGCATCTGACTCTGTGTTCTGTTTTAGTTGTATTTTATAGGTTTTATTGAATACAAACCTGGGTTAAATTGCATCACTGGTTGCCTACAGCAGAGGTTGCGCAGTAAGCGCTTCTCGCCATAGGATCAGCCTCAATTGACCCATTCCTACTTCAAGGTTTACACCAGCCATGCGCAATCGTAACATGGCCATTAACGCAACCTCTTTAACATACAGGTAATTAATTAATTCCATTGCCGCGGTTGATGTTGTTCTCATGGATCCTGTGATGTTTAAACAAGCCAGTCGCTGTATTTGATATAATTTTTGAATGGCCGTTGCTTGTAGAACTTTCGGTCCCCATGCAATGACTCCGTACGTTAACATAGGTCTTATTATTGCAGTGTAGATCCAGGTGACCACACGGGGTGAAAGACCCCATGCACGTCCCACTGTCCGCCGACATTGCTAGTAAGTCACATATGCTCTCTTTGCTCTACTCTGTAGGTGATAGTTCCATATTAGCTTCCTGTCGAGGATAGTACCAAGCTATTTCACCTCCTCAGAGAAGTTTAGTTTGCTTTTGAAGATTTCGGGAGGTTTTAAGCCCGATAAACTTCTTTTCCTGGTGAACAGGACCATCTCAGTTTTCTTGGGATTGATCGACGATGTTTCTATTAATTTGAGCCCACTTTGTGCTCTATCGCACAGTGTGTTCACAAATTTGCCGGTATGCAAGATAACTATGTCATCTGCATATGCAATTGTGTAGAATCCATTATTGTTGAGGTGATTATTCAGGGTATCCAGAACTATGTTCCAGAGAAGGGGTGATAAGAACCCTCCCTGTGGACATCCACTCATGACCAGTCTTCTCAATGTGATGTCTTCTACATTGATACTTATTGCTCTACTAGAGAGCATCTTGAGTATCTATTCTCCTACTACCAGGGGTACTTTCCTGGAGTGTAGTTGCTGGGTAATTATTGGAAAGGTTGTTTTATCAAACGCTCCCTCGATATCTATGAATATACCCAGGGTGGATTCTTTGTTGTCCAATGATCTCTCGATTCTGCCAATCACTTGGTGAAGGGCCGAATCAGTAGACCTTCCCGGAGTATATGCATGCTGATTTGGATGAAGTGGGTTGTGAACTAGTACTTTATCTCTTATGTACCGCTCACATAGCCTCTCCATAGTTTTTAAGAAGAACGATGTGAGACTAATTTGTCGGAATGCTTTTGGTAAGGTGTAGTCCATCCAACCTGGTTTGGGTATAAATACTACTCGTACTCCTCTCCACTTACTGGGAATATACCTCAGAACTAGAGAGGCTCTGAATATTCCAACTAGGTGCGGCATAAGAATATTCAGTCCCCATTGAAGTAGGACTGGTCTTATACCGTCAGGTCCTGGTGATTTGAAGGGGAAAAAGCCCGATATCTTACCTTGTACTTGTCAATTACTGCACTAGCAGATTGCAAGTCGTACTGTGAGGGTGCTGTTGGTACTTCCGTACAGTTCGTCGTTCCAGAAAAGACAGAACCTGGGAAGTGAGTTTCCATAAGAATCTCAGCACTCTCCTGGAGGTTGGCGGCTTTGTCGCCATTTTCCCTCGTCAGGATGCCGATACTCTTATGGTGGTCATTCGAGAGTGCCTTCTGTAGCCTAGAAGTTAGTGGAAAGTATTCGACTGCTTCACAGTAGCCTCTCCAGGCTTCTCTTTGTTTTTGTCTGCAGACTTTTTTGAACTTCCAAATAGATACCGTGTACCTTTCCAGTTCTTCATTTCTGCCAGGAGTCACGACCTCTGTTTCCCGCAGAGCTGCTTTTAAGAGTCGATTGTCGAGAGCTATATCCGTCCTCTTCGAGTCACGGGGTTTTTACAGTTGTCCGGAAATCCTGGCTTACCGTATAGGTCAACCAGCGGTGGTCTGACATAGAAATATGGTCCGAGACTTGCCAGTCCTGGATTTTGTTTGATATTTTGGCTGTCGTTGGGGTGATATATATTAATGTTTGTCTACAGGCGTTAATAAATATCGGATCCGTGCCTCTGTTCAAGACTGTTAGATCTTTCTTGATTCTATATTCATATAGGGACTTACCTCGGGCGTTGATATCCTTGCTGCACCAGCTCAAGTGGTGAGAGTTTAAGTCGCAACCCAATATAAGCTCCACTCTCTGGTTGAGGCAGTGATCCACCAGTATCTCCATTTCTCTGGTCGGTGGTAGGGTGGGGATAAGGTTGAAGTAGAAGGGATGACCAAATCTAATAATGGTGTGTCGTCTGTCCCAGAGGTTCCTAAAATTGAAAATGGCAAAACAGTAAAAGGTATTGTTCCATATTGTTTAATAACATAATCAATTCATAATCAATGTAAACGACATTATCATACCTATATCAGTACTTGACTATGATGTCCAGTTGAATATCGTTGGTACAGCATTCTGTAATAGAAGTTTTTTCTTATGGCTACTTATTATCACATCATTTTCAAAATGACTGGTACATAAACGATAACTACTTTTTTACAGTGATTCTAATTTGTTAAGCAAATCAGATCTGCAGCATGCTTCTAGCCACGTGTTTGCCCTAGAATAAAAATTATACATATTGAACAACTTATTAGGTACTTACTTACCTTTGGGGATCTTTCGGGAATCTATAAAATTTTTCACAATTGTAGGCCTTGTTTTTGCAATCATTGAAGCAGCAAACATTTCCTGACTTCTTTAATAATGTTATTTTTACATCTCCCATTTGATAATCACTTAATAATAAAACAAACAACAATAACCAAGTACAAAAACTAAAAATGATAATAACAACAGCGAATAAACTAAACACAATATCAATTTCCGATCGTTTATTATAACTAATCCGAAGCCTCTGAAACCGACGAATCCTTCGATACTACAGCACTGAACGCATTGGATGAGAATCTCATCCTAAGAGCGGTTGAAGGTCCTCGGCAACTCGGGCGGATCATGTGGTAAGACACCCTACTGGTTACATTATTCTACTGTGGTTTCATGGTGAATTTTATTAGTTCGGACATTGCCTAATATGATTTGAAATCTATGAAAGAACAAATAAAAATAAAATGAATAGCTAAAATATAAATTATATTAAGCAATAAAACGTTATTATAATATCTATTTTTCTTTTATACCAATCAAATGTGTGTCCAAAAATAATACTCTATTATCAATTTCAATTATTTTCGAATACATAATGTGCAAATGTAAGAGAAATAGTCGAACTCATTAGTGTTGTGGTATCTCTTTTACTGTGATCTTTTCTTGTTCAAACTTTTATTAAGAGCAACATCAACAGCAAAGTCAATATTTTTCAAGAGACGGAGTAGATCTTCTGGTTCAGTGATGATGACTGGGGAAATGATTTATATAAACGACGATATGTGACGTATGTATTAAATCTATCATGAGCAATATCATAAAACTACCACTGAGATGCACTGTCCACTACAGAGGCTACGACAACCAAAGTGCCATAGCTTTACGAACAATTAATTTTCATCATCCAAAATCTAAGAGCATTGATACTCTCTTAGAAACAAAATAGAGGAGGAGGAAATTCAGCTTATAACTGTCAGTACAAGCAAAACGCCTGCCAATAATCTGACCAAGTCATTATTTGGATTAAAGCACAAATTTTATTTCGCAGCAATTAAACTCAGATCTGGATAATTCAAGTTTTAGTGGGCATGTTGAACTAAATATCTAGTTATCATTATTCTCCTGTATGTTAATGTTGTATTTCATTTCTGATGCAAGTTAGTTATGAAGTTCAACTTATCTTAATGCACATATATTCATTGAATATTTGAATATCAAAAAAATTGCACTCCATATTCAAAGGGTGGTTTTGAAATGAAGCAGATATAAGGCTAGTATTAATTTAGGTACTTTGCGAAAGAGGAAATTCAGTTGGTTTCATCATTTGGAAAATAAAAATGAATTTTAAATCAAAAAAATTATTTATTGAAAAAAATGTATGGTAAGGATATGTCAACATGGCTTGAAATGACTATTAAAAACACTTTTCCTTTGCAAGAACAAAATTGCTGTGTCTCGCAAAACGCGCGTCAGGACACAGCAATTAAATGAGACTGCTTGGATAAAGCCTGGTTATTCATTGCTTGATGATGCTAACTTTTTTAGCGAAACGCATGTCGAGAGACAGCAATTCCATTCTGGTAAGGGAAAAGTGTTTTCAGTACATTTATAACAGAAATGAAATATTTTAATAAACAATACAATCTCAAATTATATTTCATGTTTTTTACAAACAAAATAATTGAGCAAAAATAACCGAAAGCATGCAAAAACAAATTAATAGTTTTCTTTTTGGCAAACTAATGTTTAATAATGTAGACAAAAAACCAATAAACGTTACCATTTCTTTATGTCAATGAAATTAACACAGCTATGTATTCAGATGAAAATTATAACTGATCTTTAATAAAATAGTCATATCAAGTCATTGGACAACACATTTATTGTGATATAAATCTCTTATATAAAACAAAATTATATATTTTTCGAATTCTTTCCTAATAAGACAACAGTGAATATTGTTAACAAAACATAATATTTAGATTCTGTTCAAAGAAAATCATTTAAACAATATTTTAAACATAAAGGCCGATCCTAATTAAATATGCATTTACAACAAATAATAAATATTCCAAAAATCGATTCTATCACAGGATTTTGGTTAACAAGTTGACTGACATTCTATAAAGAATAATATTAGGAACTATTCAAATCCAAGTCTCTGCGTAAGGAACTCGCAAGCAGTAACAGATAGAACTGTGACAAAGTTGCCTAATTAGAGTACTGTTGAATATTATGGAAAAATTGACTTTAACCTTTAATGTCGAACCTCTATTATTTATTGGCTGTATCTTCTTCACTAGCGGAATATCGGAAAACGATGTTTACTTTGCAACAGGATAATCCAATGGAATATCAGAATATGTTGATACAATTTTTATGCAGAATATCATCCAACTTGAGCCATACTGAACTTTGATGTCGCAAAATTTAATTCTTTCTATAGTACTGGGAGTTTTGGTAACTTGATAATCATCGGTTGAATTGTTTTTACTACTGCCCAGATAACCGCTCGAATGGAAGCAACACTTTTCAGTCTCTTTGTTCCATATTTAATTATCAAGAAATAATAAATTTTTATTTAATTAAATAAGCACCAAGTATTTAAATTTTGTGAGTAAAACAACCCTCTGAAGTTTACAGTTAGATTTTGCCACGTTGCACAACCTACAGGAGTTGAAGAAAAATTGGAATTTTCATATCCCGCCCCCATTTCGGCTATCACGATCAATGAATACTACAGACGATCAGTAATAAAAATATGAACTGGTATTTAACAAAAATGATCAAGTGTTGACCTCATCTTGTATATGGGTATATCTCTTCTAATTTGTCATACAAAGTTCCTGAAAGGATATTTATAAATTGATACCAATAATAGAAATCTGACATGTTGTTAGGTTCAAAAAGTAGGCATCTACTTTATACTTTTGCTGGTTTCTCTTATCCTTTCCAAATAACTTTTTGAAGAATTTTATATACGCCATATGAACCCATTTTTAGGTTGAAGTTAACAACAACCCATTTCTCCCAAACATCACTTTTTGTCAAGCTTTCTTAAACTTCTGGGGGTTGTACAATACGAAAAAACCTCAATGCAAATAGAGATAGGGATATCAACACATTTGTACTTTAGAGAGCAAATAGAATTTGAAAATTTAAGTTTTTCCTGTATATCTGCAGGACCATAAAAGTAGAGGGGGAGTCGGAGAAAGAGGGATAAGTGGTGTAAGTGGAAAGGGGGAGACAAGAGATATATAGAAAGGGGGAGATAGGGAGAGGCAGATCGAGGGAGGGATGGAGGGAGAAAGGGAGAGACAGAGAAAGAGAGCAAGCGAATAATTCAATAACACTCTAAATCAGGCAACTTTGTTTCACCAACCAAATTGACTGTTGAAATTTGCGTCAAGTGGGGTTTTGCACTTATTGTATGTAGGGATAGTTCCCGTTCTACCATTGACTTATTAAAATGTTACCTTCGCTAAAATGACGTAAAATGATGTTTTAATAAATGACCATAAGAGGGCACTGAAGAAATATTATTTCGAAATATTAGTAAAGTTCACCTTTAATTATCCTAGGCTTGGTGGCAGTTCAGAAAGTGACTAATTAGTTGACAAAAAAAGTGAGACAAAATGATAATCTCTTGTTATATGATTTTTCATAATTTTTAAAGAGGCCTTTCAGTAATGAAGGAAAAACTTCAAAATCGGTTTGCAGAATTTTATCTTGGTTATACGTCTGACAGTAATGTGTCTCTTGAAGTGTGACAAAAATCGGTTGTAATTCTATGAAACAGCAGGGCTCATAACAAGATGAGACAGACCATGAGATAGAAGCTACCCTTGGCATATCACAGAATGCAATACATTCGATTTTGCAAGAATATTTAGGTGTGAAATAGATCTGACCCAGATGAACTTGACACAATTTGATTGATTCCTAAAAAAAGTTTCTGTGAAATGGTACGAGGAAGTGCTCCAAAATTCAACATGGGAGCTACCAAAGATTTAAAAAAATAATGAAATAGTTTGTTCCAAATGAAGTGTTTTTTCTACTTTTTGTAATAACTTAAAAAATTACTCTCTAATAAACAACTGAAGTCAGTATTGTCAAAATCTTCAGCTGAAATATTTGACATCTTCAATTAAAAAATCACTAGAATAAGTTACACAACCATTAAATCTTCCTGTGCTTGGCCATTCGTTTGTGCATTTTCAAATGCCCTTCTTTGGGAAATACTTTTGAGCAAATATCGCAAGAAAACTGTTTTTCTCTATGCCTTCTTTCGAAATGGTCTGCAAGTCCACCCTTGGTTTTGAAACTATTTGAACAATTGGCACACATATAAGGTTTCTCATCATTATGACGTTTCAAGTGATTTTTCAAAGAGTTACGATGTGTAAAGCTTCTGGAACATATGGAACACTCAAAAGGTTTTTCGCCTGTATGGGTTCTGAAATGGGTCTTCATGGTACTGCTATCATAAAATCTTTTCGTGCATAAAAAACACTCATAGGGTTTAACTCCTACGTGAACATTCAAGTGATTTTTCAAAGTGTTCTTATGAGCAAATCTTCTGGAGCATATGTTACATTGGTATGGTTGTTCTCCAGAATGGGTCCGTATGTGGCTGACTAAATGAGTCTTCCTACTGAAGCACCTCATGCATTCCAAACACTGGAACGGTTTTTCACCAGTGTGTACTCTCAAATGATATGTTAGTGACTGTTTGAAAGTGAACCTAGAAAGAATAATTGAAGTTAGTGACAGAAAGTGACAAACTGGTTGTAAGAATTATTTGAGAATTTTCTACATATTTACTTGAGAAAGCAATGGGAATGTCTCATTCTTTTAAATTCACTCCCTCCAGAAATAAACATTAAGCCCTCCCCCAAAACAAAATCCTGGGTATCAACTCATCCAAATATTTTTATCATGCATTCATACAAACAAAAATCATTGTTCGATACTAAAAAAATGCACGTTACCTTTTAGGACATTGCGGGCAAACATGTGGCTTGTCTTCTGTATGCACTCGAACATGGATGAGCATCTGGCTCTTATGGAAGAACTTTTTTGGGCAATATTGACAATCGAACCGTTTATGCCTATCATGAATTGCCAGCTGATGGTTCTTTAAAGCACTCGGAATATGATATCTTTTAAAACAAATTGAACATTGGTAGGGTTTCTCTTGCTTTGTATGCGTCCTTTTTATGTGCTTCATCAAGTATTTTTTTATAGAAAAATCTGCTGAACAGATCGAGCATTTGAAAGGTCGTTCAGTTGTATGGGTTTTCATGTGTCTGCTCAGGTCACTGTTCTCAAAGAAACCTTTTAAGCAAACATCGCACTTGAACGTTTTCTCTCTAGTATTGTGAGTTTTCAAATGACGGACGAGACGGGATTTTAAGGTAAACGATCTTGAACATACGTGACACAGGTGAAGTTTCTCTGACGAGTGATTTTTTTCATGCCTTTTCAGAAGAGTTGGGCACCTGAAAGTTTTTTCACAGGTGAGGCAGTTGAATTCTTTATCTGTTATATGAGTTTTCATATGAGTAGACAAACTTTCCTTGGTCGGATAATATTTCAAACAGAGAAAACACTGAAAATCTTCATTCGTTGTGTGCTTCCCAAGGTGTCGCTTCATATCTCCTGCTTGAGTGAATGCTTGTAAACAAATTTTACACTTGTAAGGGCGCTCTCCGCTATGCACCCTCAAGTGAATAACTAGGTAACTCTTTGCTGCAAATTTTTTTTGGCAAGTATAGCACTCAAAAGGTTTCTCCCCTCTGTGAAATATAATGTGTCGTTGGAAACTAGATCCGCGTTTGAAGGATTTCGAACATAATTTGCAAATATAGGGTCTTTCTTCTGAATGGGTTATAATATGGGACTCCAAATTATGTTTAAAGTGAAACTTCTTGAAGCATATTTGGCACTCAAATGAAGGACTTTCGTGAGTTTTACTGTGTTCAGTTAGATGTATATTCTTAAGAAAACTCTTGTCGCAGGTTTTACACTGATATGGCCTACTGCGCATATCATCACTTCTGAATTTACTCCTTTTTCGAACTTCCTTTGTAACATATTCACAAAAATTGGACTGTTTATTGGTCTCCGTACCACTAATACAGTTCAAATATCTTGCACAAAAATTATTCTTTTTGATGTCTGTAAGACTCGATTTGTCAAAAGTTGTGTTCTCATTCGCTGGAAGGATTTGGCAGTGGTTTGAATATTCCTCTTTTGTCTCAAATGCTTTTTCACAAACCAGGCATAACATTAAAGAGCTTCCAGAATGAGACTTAGGAAGGCTCTTCGAAGAAGATATAGAGGAACCTGAAATGCAAAAATGTGAGTCAAGTTTTTGTAACTATATACATGGTTATTCAAATTCTACTCTATGCATGATAAGAGATATATAGTCACCACCCGAAGACGATTTTGAATACCAACAATCGAAACGTCATGAAGTAACTAGGTAAAATCTTTTCAATTTTTAGTTCATTTTCATTTTTTCAATTTTTAATTTTTTGTTTATTTTCATTTTATTGTATTTATTGCTCCATAAAATTACTTTTAGCTATTTTTTTGAGGACAAAACAGAAGCACTAAAGGAAATTCCTTAAGGCGTTCTAAGAGCGGTGCCTGTGCGAAAGTAGCGATTTACGTTGGATTTGATTAGCTAGAGAATAAATTCATTTGGAAAAACGTTCTCAGGAAGTGTATTCCACATTAACGTAGTTCTCCAAATGAAATAGTTCTTAAACAGTCAAGTTCGAGGTGTTCTGAGTTGAACCGCAAAACGATGAGCAGCCACAGTCCGTCACGTATTTCATATTGGTGTCCATTTTAACACCCACAAACTTATCGAAACAGAAAGCGGAATTGTCTGTTCTGACCTTATATCCGGTTCGGAGACATTTATTTTTTTGAAGAAAACCAATGCCTGGGTTTTCGTGGTATTGAATTGAACCTGGTTACTTTCACCCCAATTCGAAATTACCTCTAGGTCCTCATTAAGACATGCAATCTCCTGCTGCCGGTGAAGATGTGCATCCGCAGAAATATCAAGCGCAACAGCTCTGGCCTGTTGGTCTTTGTTTCCCAAAGCCATATTGAAGATCGCTCAAGATGTCAAAGCTTTCCAAATATTCAAGGATATGGTGGTTTACGGCTTTATCCATGATTTTTTATATCACTGAAGCAGTCGGTTACTGCTCTATAGTTACTTCGAAGATTTTTCTTGCCCTTTTTGGAAATAGGCTGAACGCGAGCATTCTTCCAACAAGAAGGAAAAGCCCCTTCTTTGTAAGACAGGTTGAAAAGTCTGCAAATAACTGGTGCGAGTTCATTGGCGTTCATCAAGACCAGGCGCCTTATTGATATTAGGTTGTTTCAAAATTCGTCTCACTAGACGCCGAAAAGTAATTTCCGGCATTGAGGATTCTAGTGTGGAAATAGTGGGTGTTGCGTTTCCCAGAAAATTGACTGTGGAGTGGAACGCAAAAGCACAAGTTGATGGATCATTAGAGCTGAAACAAACATCTAGCCAGGAAAAATTTCGGAAACAGTCTTGAAGATCCTCCCACTCAGATCTGTAATGCCAAACTTTGTGCGGCTTAGATGGTTCCCCAATTTTAATCGGTAATTCATTAAACACTGTAATGAGTTTCTGATCAGAAGTTCCCAATGGAGACTTCATTGTGACTATGTAAATTTTTGGATTGGTTGTTAGGTATAGATCCAGAAGACTAGCTTATTCTCCATCACGCTCAGGAATTCTGGTTGGCTCATTTATAATCTGAGTGTAAGTTCGCTGCTTATTGCAAAAACCTCAGCTTCGTGGCCTTGTTCGTCGTTGATATTTGAACATTTGAGCCATTCGATATTGAATAGAATAGAATAGAATTTATTCATCATTGAAATATCATACACATATAACATATACATTATTTAATGATTAGTAAAATTCTTTTGTTGATAATCCATGAAAACAGTTTTATTTACATTAACAAGTAGACTGTTATTTGTGCACCATTGTGAAAATTCGTCAGCATTTTTATTTGCGGTTTGAACAGATAGGAGAAGTTCATTTTCTGCTACCATTTAATAGGTATCATCAGCATATATTATTGTTTTTGGTGGAGATACACATGAATTTTCAATATCACTCATAAATATTATAAAGAGAAGCGGAGCCAATGTTAAGCCTTGTGGAACTCCTAATATGTCAGATGATGTTGATTTTTGCTGTCTAAAACCATGTTGACATTCTGGTATGAGTTTATAGTGTTCTACAAATTTGGACATTGAAGTCATCAAATATGGAAATTTCGGCACTGGGATGATTGATTTGCAGAAAGTCTATCGTGTTTGCAAGTGAAGAGAATAGTGCCCTATATTGTGTATGGCTTCGTGGTCAAAAAACGCAGCATATGAATTTAGTGATCTTCTGTGATATTATTTTAAACCAGTTAACATCAAAGTTTTGAAGTTACAGCATTTCCTCTCATTGACAGAAGAGATCGCTTCGGAATAAAAGTGATATTCCAAAGTTACGTCTGAATCGGAAGTGGAAATCATAGTCGGGATATAGAAAATTGACGGGGTTTGTTGTTGCACTGACTTTGGTTTTGTGAGAGACCCCACCCAAAGATCCGATTGGGGGGGATATTTCACATCCGGAGTATTTTGACCCTAGGAGCGCCGTCATGCATTCTTTCTTATATTCCCACCCTTGAAACCGGAAACATGAAAAGTGCCATCGCTCTCTATTGCCCTGGCTGAAAGCCTTATAATCCAGCATCTTCCCTCTATCTATCGCCATCACTGTCATAGGAACCCCTACTCCTCCGAACTCACACCCCTCTATATGCCGCCGACGCGTGACGTCGACCACACGAGAGGGCGAACCAGCGGGGGCAAAAGACCCTATCAACTATGAATTACAAAATAAAATATATTTACCTTTTTCACAAACTCCACATTTTAAATGATTCTTGAACTCTGTTTTTGGACGTTTGTCACAAGTATATGTTACAATAGTATCTTCTTCGACTTGATTAGTTTTTGTATCCATTTTCATTTTTTCAATGACTACCTTCAGTTCTTTGTCTCTAGAAACCATAACTTTTGATCCTGATAGAAGTTGTTGAAGTTTTGTGTTATTGGATTTTGATGATTCAATAAAATATGAAATGGTTTGTAGTTTCTGAATACACTCATAGCAGATATTCTTTGGTAGATCATCTTCAGGTGTGACCTATGGAAAGTTTTCATTAAGCAATGCCAGTTATGAAGTGTTATTTTAGCATTTCTATATTCTCTATAAAAAAACATCTGTTAGTCTCTATAAAAACATCTGTTATTCTGTATAAAAAAAATCTGTTATATTTTAAAGATACTTCACAGGAGTATGTAGTAGAGTCATCCTCTTTTAAGCAATGAAAACAATTATCATAAAATGGATTCATCTCAAAGGAGAATGCGATACCATACTGCATTTTTCCCGCAGCTTATGTGTGGTATAATATGAGCAGCTTTGTTTTGTGAGCACCTTTCTGAAAAATGTCTTCCTCTATAATAAACGAAACATATTTACGATTCAACACCAGACAGCGTTGTTTCGACCCACCATAGATTTTATCCGTGGTACTAAGCTGAACCAGAAGTGCATTACTGAATTCAACTGTTCTTAAAAAACAAGCCCAAGTAAGTGAAGGCGATGACATCGAAAGAGCTCTGTCTGGTGTTGATTCGTAAGTGTTTTAATTTTAGATTCTGCTTTTCAACTAGCTGCCTTGCAGTGAAACCACCATTAAATGACTTTGAACAAATCTTGTAGGAAGTCAATGTCGAAGCTTGACTTTGCCACGTTCTGCCTTGGGGAGCCTAGTTTATATTTTATATTTGAGGATTGAGTTCTCTGTCGATCCCCTAAATGGCGTCTTCGTAAGGAAAGATGTTGTCGACCTTATGCCCCGTATGGGCAAGTTGAGTCCGGCAATACATTGGTAGTTCGGCCTAACACCACTAATGGGACCTGTGGCAAGTCAAAACAGCGCTATCTGGTGTTGAATCATGAATGCATTGTGTTTCGGCTCTGATTTTCAATTAGTTGCCTTGCAGCGAAAGCTGCAGTGAGAAACAGAGGTAGAAACTTGTCGGCGGTCAATGTTGAAGCTTGGCTTCGCAAGTGACCTCTTTGAGGAACCTCGTTTATCTTTGATATTCAAGGATTGAATTCTCTGTCGACTCCAAGGGTCGCCCTCACTATCTCGTTTGTGTAAAAGAAAAATAAAATGGGTCGGAGAGCTGATTGAGAGTACTAGTATTGGGTATACTTGATTCCACAAATTCAAGAAACACTTCATTGTGAGATTTTCATTTAACAGTTTTACAAAAAAGCAACACGTGTTGAGCTATACAACATCTTCTTCAAGTGTGTCTATACTCAGTATATACTCAGCTATTGAAGCTATTGTATAGCGAAACACGTGTTGCGTTTTTGTTTAGTGAAAATTTCACAATGAAGTGTTTCTTGGAAACGTTATGGATTTCATCAAGTATCGGCGATTCCATCACACAGATTCCTCATTGTTGGTATTGTCAATACAAATATATTATTGACGATTGCTTACAAAAGATTTTACCCAGTTCAAAGCAACACCATGTACAGATACCGGATGAAATTGCTTTATTGCAAAATGATCAAGTAGCACCATAAGTGGATTTAGTAGAATGGAAGCACGTTGGTGTTTAGTAACCAGATAATTTTCAATAAAACTCAAGAGCCTAACAAGAAATGGGTATTCAAAGATTTTTGAGAAACTGAAAAGAACAATAATAGGTCTGTAATTTTCCATTAGCAGGTGATTATTTATGGATTGGCACTACTTTTCCAACATTCAGCTTGCGAGATTTATCAATGAGGTTTTATTAAGGCTTTTAATGGAAAGCACATAACTGTGGTAGACAAGTGCAATATTTTCTACCAGAAATTTTAAATAACTTGAAGATCACTTCTTTGCAGTTCATTAAACTATAGGAAGTATAAATACATACCACTATGTTGGTTATTTTCCGAAACAGGTTCAACAATTCTTGAAATTCGTGAAAAACTTGTAAATTCTTCTGCGTTAAACATATTCGACAAACGTGAGAAAATAAATATGTATATTTCTTGATGCTAGATTTCACATTTTCATCTTCACATACTTTCAAAGATTTCAATTCATTACTGTTGTGACAAACTAGGCTAAAATAGTTTTTTTGTTGATTGCTGAATTCACTAGAATCTTCTTCAATCTTTACTGTTACACCATCATCTACTATCGTTATTTCATCCTGAGTGAAATGAAGATCTTCCCTTTCTCTAATCAAATCCTGCAGGAGAATAATATTAGTTTGTTTGGATAAATTTATAAATTCTGATATGTCCCTCAGAGTAGTCTCGCAATTGCTGCAAATTTTCTTGGAAAGATTGCCTTTCAATTTAATCTGAAAATAAAACCATATAATTTGTAAGATTGAGTAAGTCAATATCGATCTTTCTACACATAATTTTCAGACCCTTAAAAACAGTCGTCTTTTGATGTGGAAATGGACTTAAGATTTTTTTATTCTCATCAAAGTTCAGATAGCTTGGTTTTCCTTGAATGAAGGAAACTTTGACTATTCACATGCAGAAAAGTTTCATTGATGATCTATAATCATCATGATGGATTGTAGAAACGGTAGCATTACCTCGTTTATCAATACAAATTCTCTAATTTTCAAAAAAAGAAAAAAAGATGATGTTAATAATTATAGAACGATTTCTGTTTTACCAATTATATCCAAAATTTTGGAGAAAGCAATTTCCATAACAGATTATTGAAATATTTAGAATTCATTTATTTCTTGTATCCAAATTAACACGACTTTCGAAGGTCTAGTGATACAGAATGTGCCGCTTTGGATATTATCTCTAATATTCAGTTAAGAGTTAGATGTACGAAAAAAATGTGGACTTTAGTCATTAGACCTCTGTAAAGCTTTCAGAACTGTTAATCATGAAATTTTGTTGAACAAATTATTTGATATTGGTATTAGAGGTAGGGAATGCATTTTTATGGTATATGGTGTCTTTGGAAAATAAGAAAGTTTCATTAAAACAAATGTTTGTGGAGTACCGCAGGGATCTATATCAAGACATTTACTCTTTCTCATTTATATAAATTCCATTTCGGAATTACAGCTTTCTGGAAATTAGTAATATTTGTTGATGATTCAACTTTGATCTATATCAATGAAGATTCACAATTAATACACTGACAAATGGAAGCTGATTTGAAACAAATAGATATTTTGTTCAATACAGGGTGGGCACCCCATACGACACGGCCCCTGTAAACCAAACCAATATTTTTTTCCTAAATTTATATTTTATTGTAATTCCATATCAGGGTTTTTTCATCAATATAATTGTTATTTTCAGCTATTCATTTTGATTTGAATATCATATTAGACAATGAATGTCCGACATTCACCGTGAAACAAACAAAATCAATTAATGTTTTGAATAACGTAAAACACAATAACTATCAATATTCTTTCAACAAGTTGAATACGTGTCGTTTCAAAGCTATATTGATTCAAAAAATTCATTGAAATAATAACTACTATTTGAAAAGGCCAATATCTGAAAAACTAGTCAGGTTAGGTATAGAGAACCTCAAAATGTTATCAAAGCTATTGTTCAGACCAAAAAAATGCAGGGTGTTCTACTTGAAATAACATTTATCTTTGTTCAAGATTTAAAAAAAGTGACAATGAATTGTGAACATTCTGTATAATATTGAGAAACGAGTTTTATTGAAATCGATAGTCCAAAACCTATTTTATGTTTGGTCAGAATCCGAAGGGATGATTTCTATAAATTTCGATGTTATTTAGTTTTCAATTGTACCTAGCATTTTCATTAAAAAATCAATAACTCTAGAACGGTTATAGTTAGGTACATGGTACCTTATATGAAATCATAGTATTTTTTCCTGACCTATTCAAAAGTGTAACGATATACAGGGTGTTCCATTCGAAAAACACAGCATTATTAGGTATTTCACACTTTTTTGAGTCACCCTATAGACTCCAAAATAATTTTCTTCTGCAGCCTTAATCCATGTACATATAATGAAACGGAAATATTCACGAAAAAATTAATGGTTTGGTTTACAGGGACCTATACATGGAAGAAGATCGTCGCGCACACTTTATTTCGAATGTGCATGAAAAAATGTACTACAGAATGATCCTTAAAACACTTCGTGTAAAGCATATAACAATTTACAAAATGACTGATATTTATTTTCAAAGTCTCACAAGCTTAAGCGTATTTATTGTATCAAATTGTTTTGATTTTATATTTTGTTATTTATATATTCTATGTGTATAAATCTACTTGTGATATACTTCCTTTTCTGTGGGTTACGACATGTAAAGTTTGTACAATAAATAAAATTAATAAATTGTTATTAGTTTCTGGAACATGCAATTACTCCTTCCGAAAATTTAATATGATTTTCAAATAAGGAGAGGTAAATAGGTTGTTCTAATTTTTCTTGAACATCACATAATATTTTTCATTATTAAATGACTCCTGCAAAATATAGCTTTCATAGCTTACAGTGTTCATTCAACGCAACAGCTGAAACGGAGGTTGAACATAAAAGTTCAACTGAGAAAATCTTACGGAAAAATTGAATTGTAATATGAACACATATTTAGGTACTCATTCAAATCAAAAGAAGTGTCACAGAATCAGCAAAGTTGAAACTAATTTAAAGTTATCAATATATGTCATTTTCATTTCATCTTCTTTCAGCCAATGTTCAGACAAACAGAGTATGTCTGTATTGTGCTCCATCACTGTGAGCTGTAGAAGTTTATTTTTGTCTGACAAACCTTGTATATTGAAGTGCAAAATAGATTAGTCTTTCCCTTGGGATTCGGTGATAGGCACTTGATTTGGGAGTGTATAATCCTCCGCTTGTCTCGTGAAGCTATTTAAGATTCCTGAATGTGGGGATCCATCACTTCTGCTGGCCTCCTCTTCATCGAAAAAAACGATATCATGGATCCATTTGGCCACGTTTCACGTTTCCATGCCTCATTAAGTAAAGTACAAAATATAAGAAAATAAAAGCAACTAAATCAAAAGGAAAAAGAAAAGATTTTAGGCCACCGGTAAAGGGCAAAGTTTAATGAGAGGTCGGGTAAAAATTCCCGCTCTGCATCGGACTTTAGCAACTCTTGCAATACCGTCATCACCCGGGAAAAAAATGTATTGCTCGAACAAGATTGGAGGAACATATCCTACTTCTTTTCCATACTTTTCTGATGAAGAGTATGGAGGTACTTACGGTGCCACCTCTGCCAAAAGGTTGAATGCAACTGTAAATGAAGCTAAAAACGGTCAAGTTTGCCCATTCTCTGGGTGATGTATCAGGATTCGGCAATGCGATTAGGGGTTCAAGCCTTAGGAAATGATCAGGTGTAAGAGCTCTCAGGTCATTTGTTTAAAAAATAAGGTGAATGTTCCAATTTTGTGGGCTACGTACGTTCGATTAGCGATTTTTCAATTTTTTTATGTTGGTACACTCGCCACGAACATATTTTCACAGTTTCAGATATTTAGCATGTTTAGTTTGTTGGTGAGAATTTTTCATTGAAATTGAGAATAATAACACCCTTTCTTTTCTTGATACAATAGTTATCCGTAGAGCTGATAATTATTTGGAGGCGATCATTCGGCTTGTGGTGGTAATTTGACATGATGGCTGGAGCACTAAGGCAGTATTCTGATCAGTGGGAGAAACTCGATTATTATATTAATTTACAATGGTTTCGATTCGTATTCCATAACATATTTTTTAAACAGCGCAATATAATCTCTGTTCGTCAAACCATATATAACTGTTTTCAGCATTAGTTTTATTACGATCAAATCAAGATATTTTTTCAAACGAAGAACAACTTTTATCAGCTTCAATATATTTACATCATGACTTATTCAACAAAATTACCAACTTAAAAAAATCAACATATGGAAATAACTAGATTATATTCTCAACATGTTTTTCAAAGTATGGAACCCCATAAATACTTCTGCTTCTACTTATTTATTCCTGTTTTTCCTAATGTTTCACTAGTTTTTTATTTTCTCAACATGTTGTTCAAAGTATGGAACCCCATAAATACTTCTGCTTCTACTTATTTGTTCCTGTTTTTCTTGATGTTTCACTAGTTTTTTATTTTCTATTCTTTGTCCTGCAATTTTTTGTGTATTTTTAGATTGTCTTCTAAATCCTCTTCCGTTCCGTTATCATCGTTCTTATTAGTTTGATTCTGGTTTTGTGTTCTGTCTCGACCCTTTATACAAAAAATAAGAAATAATAAACCGTATTTCAATTATATAACTAGCCACTACTACAATTTTTCACGGCAACTTTTAACTTTACTCGCCTCTGAAATACCCGATGTTTCTCTACGAGATAAAAATATAAGCCAAAATTGATAATGCCTCAATGACCGCAGCAACCTTCCCATATAAAGGCATACATAAGTCAGCTATACCCGACGATACATTAGATTCAGCAATGCAGTACTTTTTAATCTCTGGTTCAGATGAATCATCTTTTAAGGGTTAGCATTCATTGACGTTGAGAAAAGCTTGCTCAAAAAATAGAGTCATATAATATCCCGCTCTTAAGAAAGCGTTAAGTCGCTTTCAGGCTGCACTCTGTAGTCTCCGAGTCGAATCCTTTCGCTACTTCATGGAACACTGACATTAACCTCAATCTACGTTTTAGAAGTTACATGTCTCATTTACAAGAACAAATATTTATATGAAAATAACAATCGCACTGCACGGAATTTAATGAATGTATCATCAATCATCCCTAAATCCACACATCAAAGACTCAATAATTTACGTCGGTGTCAAAATGTATAATAAAATTCCTGAAGTTATAAAAAACATGGGTTCTCTTAAAACTTTTAGGAAAAAGTTACATGAAAGTCTGGCATCTAAAGCCTATTACAATCTGACAGAATATTTTAATGATGAAACGATATGAAATTGACGGTGCTTATATGTAATAATATATGTGTACTTTTACCTAGATGTGATTATTTATATGTATTATTTTCATGTAATTATGTAATTGTATATTTATCTGGATGTAGATATGTTCTCTTTTTACCAATGTTTGTCAAAAAGGTATGTATATTGGATAATAAACACATACTCTCTCTCTCTCCCTTTCATAAATTATCTCGCGAGTAGCCAGGGAAAGAAGTTATAACACGGCAGAGTCCCTCATTAGCGTAAAAGTCTTCCTATGTAGAGAGGGAATCCGGTATGAGCTCAGAATTCCAACTCCTTCCGAAGGAGGATAGTAAAATAATTTAACAGCCAGTTTTTATGTAAATGTACTTTGACAGAGTATAGTTCGGTTCTTTTTAACGAGTATATCTATTAACATGTGTATTGTGTAAAGGTTGACTAAATTTATTATTTCAAAATTATACTGAATTACACTTAGTTTGGTTTTTTAGTTATAATTAGAATATTCATTGACTTTAAGTGTGAATGTTGAATGATCTGATTCACAATGCGTTACTGAGTTTTCCTAAGTACCATTAAACTTGTTGATTGACACTGATGCACATACTGAGTTGACTCTGTACTTTGACTTGTGCTGAGTTACATTATGTTGACTGAATTACACATCGAGTCATTTGACTTACTACGGCTAGTATTACTAACCACAACTGGAACTACACACCATATTGAGTATTGAAATTTCAGAAATATTGATACAGTAGAATTACATATATCCAACCCTAGGTTGAATAATCAAATATCCGGAGAAATGGATTCGACAAAAATATCTTATTTTATGGAAAAAACACCCAGTTTACTTGATATAGTACACATACACATATGAATTGTATGAAATTAATTCTTGAACATGTTAGTTAGTCAAGTTGGGATACAGTTATAGATGACCTCATTTGGGAAGGTTGATATAAGAATCTTGCACCTTGAACACCCGACGGTCTCAATATCGACCAATTAACTGGAATCTTAAGGATAAAGGATATTCCAGAAGATGGTCCATAGGTACGATTCTAGAACTGCACATTTTGGCCAGGACAACTACAGGTTACCCAAGAGGATCAAGAGAGTGTCTCCTTGCTGATGGGTGTATTTAGTATACTGCAGCAGTGCAGCCATGGGAAGGAATCTCCCTGAAATGCTTCACAGGAGACCCACTTTACAAGCCATACATTTGTGTTGCTTACCTACCTGACTAAAGTAATCGTAGACTGGGCGCCGATCAGGTCTTTACCAGATTAAGGGAAATATACAATCTTGTAGTGGATTATTCTTCACGAGGAAATTCAGGTTCTTATAGCAGAGAAAAACAAATACTGTGCTCTTTCCATCGCGGAGCAGATCGGATAAGTTTTCAGCCACACTCTTGCTGGCTAACATGAAAGATTACCTATCGAATAAAGTAATCGGCTTCGTTAAGAAACATTTATTTAGTCCAGTTTAAATAATTCTGAAGCACAATAAATCATCGAGAGTTGCAGTCCAATTAACATCTGAACATGCATAATGGATATGTAATTTTACCTGAAAAATCTAAACTAAAAAAAATGTGTGACCCCTAAAAATCACCCGGATCGTCATTTGACGATCGCGATCCAGGTAGTTGGAATTCGGATAATTGAAACTGTACCGTATTTATGCACGAGTTAATCAAACTTTGAACTCATTTTATTTACACAAGAAGATGTTTTAATTGATATTATCTTATTTTTTCCAATCTGTAAGAGATAGACATGGTTGATTGGGAATCTTGCGTGGTTAATTTCATTCAAATAGTAGCTTCAAATATGATTTTACGACTTTTGGTTCAGTATTATGAATAATTTTAAAGAGTTTACTAACAGTCTACGTTACAAACCTTATATTTCATGTGTTAAAAAACACATATGGAGTAAAATAAATTTTCGGTATACCCGTCTTTTTTAGAAACAGACTTCACTTTTTGTTTCGAAAAGAATGTGCAAAGGAATGCAATATGCAAAGAATATGCAATCTTAACATTTTTACCATCTCGCCTCAATATATTATAGTCTATTTTCAAAAAGTATGCAGTAATAAATCATTCAAAAGGAATAATTCCAATGCTATGTTCACTTTTTATACAGCAATAAATAGAAAAGAGTCATATTATTTTTAAGTTTCTCCAAGTATGACACTAGTAATACAAATTTTCCCTTTTTTTTCATATATTATGAGATTTTATTACTGCACCCCTATTGATGAGGAATATATTAGGTATGAGCAATACTAATATTATTTTCTTGTATTCTTTTTATAGACTCATGTTTTTCGACTGATAATACCTTCTTCCTGACTGTCTTGTTTTCTATTTAAAACACTATCTTCTTCATAGCTTTGTCAGAAAAACATGTTTATTATTATAATATTTTTATTAAGATGCCGAATGTGACGCTGAATTGCTATCGGAGAAGAAGCGCAAGCTTAAGGAGAAGTTCGATGCGGAGTACGATACGTCTGAAAAGAGTAGCTATTATGACGAGCTGAAGCAGGCTGCGGAAAGGCAGTCGCAGCTGAACAAGGAGGTCTTCGAGAATATGCCAGACGAGATGCGCGTGCAGATTGAGGGCTATCGGTCGGGCATGTACGTCAGGATCGAATTCGAAAGTGTGCCTGCAGAATTCGTTCAGCATTTCGATCCGACTTATCCCCTCGTTATCGGGGCGCTGAATATGGGCGAGGAAAATATTGGGTATGTGAACGTGAAGATCAAGAAGCACCGTTGGCACTCGAAGATACTCAAGACGAACGATCCGTTGATCATTTCTTTAGGTTGGAGGCGATTCCAGACGATTCCGTTGTACTCAAAGCTAGAGGATGATTTGAAGTTCCGGTACTTGAAATACACTCCGGAACATTTGTCATGCAATGCTCACTTCTGGGGGCCCATCACGCCGCAAGGAACAGGGTTTTTGGCGCTGCAGGCGGTGCATTCAGATGCGACGGTGAGTAGTTAAAATGCATGTTTTTTTAATCGTTTTGAGAAACTTTGTTTCTTGCCGTTTTGGTCAGTTTTCAAAACAAAAAAAAATTGAAGTTTTCTTGCACAGAAGTTTTTTATATTTATATTCTCTTTTTATTTACATGCTTGTTTACTTCCTAAATACATCGTATTCTAGCTAATCCCATTGACTCATCATTACCAAAACGTCAAGAAATGGAAGTTGTCCTTCATTTTCTAACTCATATGTGAATTTTATTGATGGAAGTCTGTTATTTAAAAAAGAAAACAAAGTCGTCAATATTCGATTTTTTGTTATCAAATATCGCAAAAACATCATCCTTATGCCTCAGCCATATCCTAGGGAAATACTTTGTCGTTTCTTTGGTTTCCATTTCGAATTTACTCATGAACAGGTTAGCCAGGTAGGGGGACAAGAGGTTACCCATAGCCGTTCTCTCCTGTTGTTCATAAAAGAAATCTTCTACCTGGAAACTATTTTGTTTCATACACAAATTTGTGAGAGAAAATAATTCATCAATTACTTGTTCAAACATTCCTCTATTAGAGAGACAGGTACTTTTGTGGAAAGTGAGATAACATTTAAGCTTATGAGCTTATCATCAGGTATTTTGAAATTATTTAAAAACTGACTGAATTAGGAATCTTTAAAGGTTATACAGATTCTGTTTCATAAGCATAAGTCAGATTATATGTTTTCATTCAAAACTACAGAGTGGTTGAGTGAAATAAATTATATTTATAAATGTTGTACATTTATGTAAAGTAATCTTCTGTAGCTAGTATCACCACTTATTTTGTGTCATTGTAAAATATGATGGAAGAGATGAATGAAATTTTCTATCCATCTTTGCTTATTGTGATTTCACAACACCTTTTGAAAGTAGAATTCCTTTTTGTTTCCATTGCCCTATTTCACATATTTCATCTGAAAAATTATATCTGTTTCATTTCCGAGATTTTCTTTTCAGGAAATTAAAAAACTTGGTTTCCGAATCGCTGCCACGGGATCTGTACAAGAATTGGATAAATCTACGAGGATACTGAAGAAACTCAAGTTAGTCGGTTACCCTCTGAAAATTTACAATAAAACAGCTATGATCAAAGGTGACAATCTAAATACTGTTTTGATGCACAATTTCACTAGTTTACATTTTACAGGCATGTTCAACAGCTCCTTGGAAGTCGCCAAGTTTGAGGGAGCCAAAATCAAAACAGTCTCAGGGGTAAGGGGGCAAATAAAAAAAGCAGACAAACCAGAAGGGTGTTTTAGAGCTACTTTTGAGGACAAAATTCTACTCAGCGGTAATCTTATTCATTGTTGTGGTTGGATCAACTATTTCACTCGAATTGTTTTCAGATATCGTTTTCTGTAGGACCTGGTTCAAAGTGGAGCCTCCAAAATTTTATAATCCGGTAAATACCTTGTTGTTGCCTCCAGATCAGAAGAATTCTTGGAGGGGTATCAGAACCACCGGTGAAATCAAGAGAGAACAGGGACTCAGAAATAAAGTGAACATTGACAGTTTGTACACGGTAAGTTATTTGTTTCAGTTGGAGGTCTTCATAAGCCCAAATATTCTGTGGCTTCTGCCGGCTCTTTTGAACATTTATAAAAGGTCAGCGCAAGCTCAAGTCCTAGAGTGTAGCTTGGGTCGGCCTTTTGGGGGGGTGGGGGCCCAGTCAGTTGACTATCCATTGCTATAACCAGCCCACCGTCTGTGAATTTGAATAATTTATTATTTTGAAAAAAATAAGCATTGGCTTGAAGATGAACCAAATGATCCAAAACATGATGTAAGGAAAAACATGTAAACATGATGTAAGGAAAGGAAATAATAATGATATTGGCAAATTCAATTTTAACAATCTTCAGAAAACCACACACATACCATTCTATTGAATAAAAAAAACTATTAATTTAATAAGTATTTTCATGAAATTTCCTTTTCATTTTTTATTCATTGTTGGTGATACCTGCTCTCAAATGATGCTGCAATATTGGACAATTGTTTTTGAGGGCTCACAAGAAAGTGGGGTCCCTAGGCTATAACTTTTTTATGGCTTATATAAATCCTGCACTGGATCTATAACCTCTGTAGTCCCAATGAAATCATTTTAATGGATGGGTATAGCAATGAGAAATACTTAAATACCAGTGTTCTATGTAAGTGCAATTTATTGCCATTCATTTGAAGTAGAACTCCTGTGAATGATATCTGAATTTTCTTTCAGTTTGTGTCTGAAAGTTGCTTTTTTGCATGATATTTGAATTTTCTTTCAGTTTATGTCTGAAAGTTGCTTTTTTGCATGATCTACACATCCATTATAGAGTTACTTATTTTCAAATCGATTACTTCCTTCCCTTTTTTTGGAATGTTCCCACATTTTTTTTAGTATCCAGATGGAGTAGTAGAAAGCCAAAAACTTTCTTTCCTAAAAATTAATCACTCCTAAAAATATAACCCCTTCAATTCAAATAAGATTCCTCTTGGTTGGGATTTAATCAAAGAGGTGAATGAATGTCATTACGATGTCATCGATGACATAAGTAGATCAAACTTATTCCTTGACATTGAAAATCGTAATTCATGAATGAATTGTGTGTATTTTCTATAATGTTATCCAATTTGGTACTAACGAGCCCTAAGGCAAGTGTCTTATGGCGAAACATCGATTTATACCAGTGAGGATGACAGTGTTCCATGTAAGTGCAATTTATTACCATTCATTTAAAGTAGAACTCCTGTGAATGATATCTGAATTTCATTCCATAACGAATGTTTGGAATACAAACTGAGTAGAGAAAAGTATCTTCTGTAAAATTCAGTATTCATGTAAAAGTATTTATTTCGAAATATTTTTTTTCTTTCGTGCAATTCAATGTTTATATGAAAGTAGCAGTTTCAGGAGGGCTTTCTTCCATTTTATGTCTGAAAGTTGCTTTTTTGCATGATCTACACATCCATGTATAGAGTTACTTATTTTCAAATTGATTACTTCCTTTCTTTTTTTGGAAGATTCCCACATTTTTTTTGTATCAAGATGGAGTAGTAGAAAGCCAAGAACTTTCTTTCCCAAAAAATTAATCACTTCTAAAAATATAACCCCTTCAATTCAAGTAATAAGAAATATGTAAAAAAATGTTAATTATAGTAACTCTCCCCTTTCTAATTTATCACTTCACACCTGAACACTTTCAACACACTACCACCTGAAATAAATATGATCCAAAATGTGAAAATACGGACAAAAAATTTACCGCAAGGCATAACTGACAGTTAAAGAACTTTTGACAAAATTTCAAATGTTTGTAACATAAGGTTGTAAGTTTTTGACTTCAAAACTATTTAAAAACCTACAACTCCCTAAGCGGGGGTGTTATCCCCCAAATTTCAAATGGTAATGGGGTCTAGTGATACCTAGAGAAAACAAACCCGAGAATGTTTTTCAAACTCAGGATTATTTTGATATATAATCTTATTATCCCGGGACTGTCCCAGGAGCAGGCTATGTTGTTTCTAATTGTGCTTATGAAAAAAACACTCTAGTGTTATTAAAAAAAAATACTATTGTTGTAAAAAACACACTAAAATTAGGATACAATAATACACTTGTTTTCATTTTATTGGTGAATGATGAGTTTTTGCTAAATTACCATCTCGTCAACAGTGTATTTCTACTGTCAACTCAGTTGCAATCTACACAGCAACAATTTTATTCACCAAATCAAAATCTGTATTTTCTAAATAGATTGGATGATTGGGATATATTAGAACCTCTTGGATGCAAGTTGTGAAAATACTATTTTCCACCTGATTTTACAATCAAAAAAAGGAACAGCTTTTTCATGTTCGAACTTCGCATATTTTTGAAATACTTTTTCATTGTTTGTTTGAAGGTGATTGACAATATTTCATGATAAATTTCACTAGTTCGGACTTCCATTGGCTAATATATAAAATGATTTGAAATCCCTGAAACAACTAAAAGAAGAATTAGAAATCAGGGATCTAATCATTTTATATATTAGACAATGGAAGTCCGAACTAGTGAAATACTTTTTCATTATTCAATGATAATCTTTTGAAACACACTAAAACATTGTGGATTTTTTTATCAGCTCATTAATATGTTCATCTTCCTTTATCTGCTGTATGCTTTCTGGACAGTTCTAAACTGCCATCATCATTATTGTCATCCATATAATCAGCAGTAACAACTGGTTCTTTTATAGTAACATCTGAGGTAGAGCTGGCTCTCTTGCAAACAATCCTTTTTCTATAAATCACATCACAGACAGCTAAATTGATACCATGTGCGAGTTACAGTTGTTGTTCAGTGCAAACAGGCTGTCCTACTTTCAGTTCCATCGGTTACAATAGTTGGGATATCATTTTCCGGGAAAATCAATTTCACTTAGAGCCTTCATCAATATATGAAGACAATTTTCAGTTGTCATTCATCCAGGAGTAGAAACAGTCCCAAGCTCCAGATTGTTTCTGTAAATTAACGTGTCGAAAGATAGATTGAATTTATCACCTGCAATGTTTTATTGTTTTTTTTTTATTGTAGTTAATAAATTGTTTTGAAATTGTGACGGCTAACTTAGATAAATACGTGTATTTCGCTAAGAGCAAATTTCTTAAAATGCCTGAATGTACTGAGTGGAAATCTATCTAATGCAATTATTCATGCCAGAACAATATCCATGTTATCGTCGGTACTTTTAGTAAAATAATCTTCTAGTTTTCGCATTGCTGGCGGCGGCGCACTATTCAGATTTTCAAAATTTCAACTTAATGAAGCTATTGAACAATTAAAGAAAAACTTGATGTTTTGATGATGAATGTGTATGTACTTTAGTCGATGCACCCAAAGTCTTGAAAAATAATTGAAAAATCTACTGCTATCAAACTAACTTTTTCAGATAATTAACTTTTGAATTTAAATTATGCATCCTGCATAACTTTGTCACTGGTAAAATGATGAATGAAAAAACCTAATTGGCGTATTTATACTATGGTATAGGGAAATAACCTAGTAACAATATTATGACACGAGGCAATCGGGTGATTCCCCTGTTGGCCCGTTGGGAAATTATATCAACAGTAATGCATTGAAGTATCCGGAATTGTGAATTTTGTAAGATCAACGATTATCATTATAATTGGGGCTGTAGCCCCAATTGGTCAATAGCTTGGTCAAGCTAGGTCGCCAGCTTGTATACATTTCCGTAGATTATTTTGAATTTACATTGAGTATCCTTAAAATTAAATCTTTATTTTATTGCTTCTTCACAAAGTTATCAAGCGTGCCGTAGGTTACCACAGACCCCTGTTTTAGGTAGTCATAATTGAGGATGTATCTTGGATATATAATAGTTGAGTAGATGCTTAAGGTAAATACGTGGGGAATATAAATACGTATAAGAATGAACTTTCAGTACATAATTCCCTNACAATTTCGATGAAGAACTGAGAAGAGAAATTTGCCTGTAGTTGTCAACTACTTTTAGGTCACCTTTTTTGTGCAGAGGAATTACCAATGCTTTTTTAAATTCAACTGGAAAGAACCCTTGTATAAGTGAATGATTTATTAGGTATATAAATGGTTTTAGTATTAAGTCAATAATATTTTTATTGTCTATTAAGACAATCAACTACTTCATATTCTGTGATAGGGTAAGATGGGTATGGATAATTGATGGTGACATTTTCTACCCTAGTACAGGGAAAAGACATATTCTGACCAAAATGATTTAACATTGCGGAATCTGATGCATTAGTGAAATGCTCAGCAAAAGTTAATGCAACTTTGTGTGGGTCAGAGATAACGGTATCCTTCTGCTGAAGAATGATTTTTTCTTTTCCATCTTTCTTTTTTATACCTAATTCACTATTAATAATTTTCCAGATTTCTTTAATTTTATTTGCTGATTTATTTATTTTCGACGAATAATGGTCTCTTTTTGCCTTTTAAACTTTTTCTTTGCGTTCTTTAACTTTTGCCTTGTATCCGTCCTTTAGAATGGAATTGGTTTCATGAGAGTGTGATAAAATCCAAAACATATCCTTCAACTCTTCACTTTCTTTAGTTATTTCATTTGTTACTCAACGTTTTGTGTTATTACCATTGTTTCTTATATGTACATGAAATATTGGAAAGCTTCATTAAAAAGTAGATGATATACAGGCAACCAGTCTTCAAAAGTCAGTCTTGTTCTTAGTTCCTTAATATTGTCAGGATAAAGCGTACGCCTCATAACTGAATGTCTGCTACACACTTCTTCTTTTTTGTCAATGTTTTCCGTCCTATCGTATATTAAAATATGGGCAAGATGATCAGCAATATTTGGTTGAACTATATTACATTTAAAACTTGGTTTTGGGAGATTTGTCACCATGTAGTCGATAGAGGTTGCGCTGGTGTGACCGTTTCTATTGGTAAAAATTCTAGTATCTTCTTTGGCATTTTCTCATAATTGATATGAGTTCAAAATATCTATTAGCAATTTTGTGTTCAGACTCGATTTT